TACCAACATACCTTAAACAAAAATCAATCATTTACCAGCATACTTTAAACAAAAATCAATCATTTACCAACATACCTTAAACAAAAATCAATCATTTACCAGCATACTTTAAACAAAAATCAATCATTTACCAGCATACCTTAAACAAAAATCAATCATTTACCAGCATACCTTAAACAAAAATCAAACATTTACCAGCATACCTTAAACAAAAATCAATCGTTTACCAGCATACTTTAAACAAAAATCAATCATTTGCCAGCATACCTCAAACAAAAATCAATCATTTACCAGCATACCTTAAACAAAAATCAATCTTTACCAGCATACTTTAAACAAAAATCAATCATTTGCCAGCATACCTCAAACAAAAATCAATCATTTACCAGCATACGTTAAACAAAAATCAATCATTTGCCAGCATACTTTAAACAAAAATCAATCATTTACCAGCATACTTTAAACAAAAATCAATCATTTGCCAGCATGGTAAATGATTGATTTTTGTTTAAAGTATGCTGGTAAATGATTGATTTTTGTTTAAGGTAAGGTATGCTGGCAAATGATTGATTTTTGTTTAAAGTATGCCAAACAAAAATCAATCATTTACCAGCATACCTTTAACAAAAATCGATCATTTACCAGCATACTTTAAACAAAAATCAATCATTTAACAGCATACTTTAAACAAAAATCAATCATTTACCAACATACTTTAAACAAAAATCAATCATTTACCAGTATAACGTAAAAAATGAGAGGTAAATTAGGGTTACCATGGCAACTGATAATTTATAATGAGATATAATGTGTTCTACCTTATAATGATACACAATGGGTTATGATTTATAATACGATATACTGGGTTATAATTGGATGTACTTACTATGTTATATCTTATAATGAGATATACTGGTTATAATGGGATATACATACTAGGTTATAACTTATAATGAGATATACTGGGTTATAACTTATAATGAGATATACTGGGTTATAACTCATAATGATACACATTGGGTTATGATTTATAATACGATGTATTAGGTTATAATTGGACGTACTTACTATGTTATATCTCATAATGAGATATACTGGGTTATAACTCATAATGAGATATACTGGGTTATAATTTATATTGAAATGCACTTTCCTTTAATTTATAATGAGACATATTGGGTCAAATCTGTAATGAGATAGATTAGGTTTGGCTTTATAGTGACATATAACCTAAAAACGAACATAGACATATAATCAAGATTAGGGTTCTTTTCATTTCATTTCAAAGGAAATAACAAAGTTAAGAAAAGACCGTAAAACAAAACCACAAAGGTATAGTTTTCATTAAGATTTCAACCGCCATTTTAATAAGGAACAGATAAAATAATTAGATTTACCACATCCAAGTAAAGTTGGCGACAGTAAAGTTTAAATTAGATTAACAACATCTAAGTAAAATTGGCGAGAGTAAAGTTTAAATTAGATTTACCACATCCAAATAAAATTGGCGAGAGTAAAGTTTAAATCAGATTTACCACATCCAAGTAAAATTGGCGAGAGTAAAGTTTAAATTAGATTTACCACATCCAAGTAAAATTGACAAGAGTAAAGTTTAAATTAGATTTACCACATCCAAGTAAAATTGGCGAGAGTAAAGTTTAAATTAGATTAACCACATACATGTAAAACTGGCGAGAGTAAAGTTTGAAATTACATTAACTACATACATGTAAAACTGGCGACAGTAAAGTTGAAATTACATTAACTACATACATGTAAAACTGGCGACAGTAAAGTTGAAATTACATTAACCA